TGTGTACACACTGGGAGAGACACTGAAACGAAGCAACAGACCAGCAAAACCAGCAAACACAAACTGGGAATAAACTCCAGATCTCTCCGTCTCAGCCACAGGCTTCAGATTATAAGCTTCTGTTTAAAAAGTTGCTTCAGTCCTTAATTTTATTTTGAAAAGTGTCCATAACCAATGGTTTCACCCTTTCATTTTTCCAACTCTGCTTTGTTTTGCTCTTTTTATTCCAACACAGGCTTCAAAGTAAAAGCCTCTCTTTAGAAAAAAAGGTTGTTGCTATCCATGCTTTTATTTTAACAGTGTAGTTGACTGTGCTTTTTCTCCCATTTTCTTTTTCCTCCAAACACAGGCTTCAAAATAAAGACTATATATATTTTTGTTTAGAAAAAATGGTCCAACCCTTTACTTTCTTTTTCTCAAACACAGGTTTTAAAATAAATGTTTATTTTGAAAAGTGTCAATAACAAGCTTCCATTTCTCTCTTAACGCCTCCCTCTCTTTCTTCATCACTAAGAATTAAATGGCTTTCCATACATCACAAGCTTCAAAATAAAAGTCTCCTCTCAAACATAAAAACAGAAGTGGCTGCCACCATGTCCCATACTTTTATTTTGAAAAGTTCCATTAACCGACCGTTTTTATACTCCATATCCTGGCGCCGTTTTCTCTGTCTGTTGCTAAGTCAAAGCCTAAAACTGGAATTACCGCTCCACGGTTCTGTGCCTCCACCGATCAGTCAACGTCACGAGAATGGGACAGACGTGAGGTCACTGACCCTGACCTTTGACCTGCAACAATAAAATTCTGATCAGTTCATCCTCGAGTCCAAGTGGACACTTGTGCCAAATGTGAAGAAATCCCGTCAAGGTGTTCCTGACATATCGTCTTTACAAGAATGAGCCCGATGGATGGACAGACAACCTGAGAATGTCTCTGGCCACGGCTGTCACTGCCGTGGACGCATTATAAAAATAAAAGTCATTTAGCAAATCCTGTGAAAACACGATGAATACAAACACAAAAGCACTATACATGCTTACGAACGGTGCTGCCCGTGCTTTTATTTTGATGAGATGTTGTTTGACCCAATCTGTCACAGACGCCAAAGTAAAAGCCTCCGTTTAGAGACAAAAGCAGCTGCTGTCCACACACTCATTTTCCACCAGCGGCGTTTTTCTCTGCATCTCTGTCTTTTCTCTTCTCGTCCTCCTCCGCCTCCCATCTGCACACTGGGTGTAGTGGACCGTGCAAACAAACAAAACACACACATTGTCCAAGTTTGTCCAAAACCTGAACTGAACCAACACGAACACGTTGGTGTGTGCAATCGTTCGGCTCAGCTGTCATCTCCCATGTGTACAGTACAAACACACATTGCAGCACTTAGAACAAAACACTGAGGCCAGAAGGGGGTGGGGGTCTCTGTGGGAAAGTCAAACTCTGTGGCCCCGAAGGTCGCTTGCCCAGGCCTGCTCTCTCTCTGACATGAACTGCTGCTTTTCTAGGAAGACGGGAAAGAGGGAGGAAGGGTGAGCTACTGGAAGATTCCCAGAAAGACAGGAGAGAGAGAGAGAGACATGTCTAGTTTTCTCTCTCTCTCTCTACCTCAGTTCCTCCCTTTTTAGGGGCTTTAGCTCCTTCGCCAACTCGGTCTACTAGAAATCGTGTTTCTGCACAACTCAACAGAAACACGCCCTCTTCCAGACAGAGATCCCGCTACACTGGCAGTAAGCTGCCCTGTCTTTATTTACACTGCACTACAACAGGCAGCACAATGCAGCCCGTGCTCCTTTCAAACGGACGTCGGCATCCTGGTGTTAGAGGCCTGATGATTAATGTGACGCCCAGCGTGGCACATAACCATGCACACAAACACAAAGCATACCAGTAATGTCCTGCACATTTACCACAAAACTCAGACTCAGAGCTGTGGTGCATGTCGGCCTCCTAGCCGAGGCATCGGACTTCCTGCTCACTCTTCTCCGTCAAATTCAAGCTCCTACCTTCACCTGCTCTACCTCAGACCTGCCACAGCTGCTGGAGACCGCCAGTTTCCCTCTCCACGACCTGCACCCCCTCTCCACCCCCGAGACTCGTGCTTTTTGCAAAGAACCTCTGAAACTCCGAGGGAGTGGCCCTGTAATAAATGCAGGTCAACACACCAGCAACACACAAGGTACTTCTGCCAAAAA